GGCATTTTACTGGAACACTAAGTAGTTTATACGAGTCTATCAGAGTTTTCCCCCCAGTGTATCGTATGTCAGTCTCTTGGGTGCGTTCATTTTCTGCCTTAGTCTGGAACGAATAGTCTTCAGGTGTGATTTCACAAGTTGAATCAAAGGTACTTGTGTTTAACAGATGAGGAACATCAGCAGCACGTAGGCCAAACTCCAAAGTTGCAGGATCGTGGACTCCTTCTGTCAGGGAATGGGAAGATCGCCTCGGCGATCGAATCTGCACATGCATAGAATCCTGACAAGACATACAGGCAGGCAGGCACTAGGACCCAGGCGCGCCTGTCACCAATGACGGCCCGGGCAGGCACTAGGACCCAGGAGCGCCTGTCAGGAGTTGGGCGGCCTATTTAAACCCAGCTCTTGCAATGCTCAAGTGCCGTATGGTCTTACCTGTTTCCTGAAGTTGCTGTTTAGTAGATTGTCTTGTTGCCGACCCTGCCTGACCCTGATTTGCTGTCTGTCTCCTGTTCTGATCCCTGGCTTGTCTGACCATTCTCCTGCTTAACCCTGCACGTTCTGATCTCCTGTTAACGAACCCGGCTTGTGACCTGTTTATTCCTCTGCCTGCTGATTTTGTACCACGCTGCCACCACTGTTACCGACCCGGCCTGCCTGACGCTGCTCTTGTGACCTCCTCACATCAGACTCTCACCTGCTATACACCTCCACCGGTGCTTCTACCACAGCTGGGTGAACTCAGGGGCCGCAACCTGGTCTCGGCCTGTTCCCAGTCCATCCCCACCATCAGGGGCCCTGGTGAACAAGCAGGTAGGGACTTAGATTCCGCGCCTTGGGGGAATCCGGTCTGTGGAGTGCTAGAGGCTACCGCTGTAAGATCCCTGACAGAACCATACGGCCATGACAGAGTCTGGAGGAGGACCTTCACCCTGGGAAGAGATGTGCCAACAGTTGGCAGCACTCACACGAGCGATGAAAACCCTGGAAGAGGGATACAAGCACCTGGAGGGACAGGTTCAGAGCCTGGCCGCAGCGGCACCCACAACATTGGGCTCAGTGGGAACACCTCCCGCCATGGGTTCAGCAGGGCCTTCCACTGGAGCAGCATTTACAATTCCTCCGCCAGAACCAAGAGTACCGACCCCTGAGCTGTTCAATGGGGATCGAGGGAAGTTCAGGGCCTTCCAGAACTCCTGCCAGCTGTACTTTGACCTGCAACCCCGGACCTTCTCTTCAGAATCGGTGAGGGTGGGATTTGTTATATCCCTGTTGCAGGGCGAACCTCAGGGATGGGCCCATCGCCTGATGGAGGCCCACCACCCACATTTGAACACTGCAGCCACCTTCTTTAAGGCAATGGCACAGCTGTACGATGACCCGCATCGAGCTGCCTCGGCTGAGGCAGCCCTCTATTCTCTACAACAGGGACGCCGGGCTGCAGAGGATTATGCTGCGGAGTTTAGGCGCTGGAGTGGAGATATACAATGGAACGACACAGCCCTGCGCCACCAATTCCGGTTGGGACTGTCGGAACCACTGAAGGACGAGTTGGCAAGAATAGGGGTTCCAGACTCCTTGGAAGGTCTAATAGATCGTGCGATCCAAATCGATCGCAGACTGCGGGAAAGGAGACAGGAGAGGTCCAGCCAGGGGCAAAGAACCTCATGGATGCTGCCAAGAGTACCAGTCATGCCAAAGGGTCAGTGTCGGCAATCGGAGCCCAGAGCCGTCAGAGGGAGCCGAACCTATGCAACTCGGCTTGATGCGGCCTTCCCTTTCTACTGAGGAACGACAGAGGTGTCGGGCAAACAACCTGTGTCTGTACTGCGGAGCAGCGGGTCATATGGTGCGCTCCTATCCGGAGAAATACTGTAAGTCCTCTATTTTCTCTAATATATCTACTGTGTGCACAGGCAACCCCACTCACTTGGCTGTACCTGTGTCTTTTCAGCTCCCAGGAGGAAGCATACAGGTGACGGCTATTATTGACTCCGGGGCATGTAGCTGCTTTGTTGATCTTGGTTTTGCTACCCAGCATCAGCTACCGTTACTCACCAAAGAACATGGGTTGAATATTTTCTTGGCAGATGCGTCTCAAATAAAATCGGGACGGTAGATCGGGAGACCCCTCCCATACACACCACAGTGGCAGGACATCACCAGGAGTTCCTCCGTTTGGACGCCATCGCGTCCCCCCCTATTTCCAGTTATAATGGGGCTCCCCTGGCTACGAGCTCACGACCCCCAGATTGACTGGAAGACCGGGTCAGTCCAGTTCCCCTCACAATACTGTCAGGAACATTGTTTATCTAAGTAATCATTAAATACACCGGCCCTACTGGCTGTAAGCCCTGATGCCGAGTTAGCCCAAATTGTGCCTGCAGCCTACCACCAATTCTTGGATGTGTTTAGTCCACGGGGGGCAGAGGTTCTTCCCCCACATCGAGCATATGATTGCCCCATTGATCTGCTCCCAGGTTCAGAAATCCCTTTTGGCCGCATTTTTCCACTATCTGAACGAGAACTAGGGGCACTAAAAGAATACATTGATGAGAGCCTCCGTAAGGGATTTATCTGCCCTTCCACATCACCGGCTGGGGCAGGGATTTTCTTTGTCGAGAAAAAAGGACGGATCCCTGAGACCTTGTGTTGACTACAGGGACCTCAAACAAGATTACGGTCAAAAACTGCTACCCCCTTCCTTTGGTTCCAGAGTTGTTTCAGAGGTTAAAATCAGCATCCATTTTTTCCAAACTGGATCTCAGGGGTGCCTATAACTTGGTAAGGATACATGAGGGGGATGAGTGGAAAACGGCGTTTCGCACTCGGTTCGGGCATTTTGAGTGTCTAGTCATGCCTTTCGGGTTATGTAATGCACCAGCCACCTTCCAGCACTTTGTCAATGACATTTTCAGGGACTTCCTTGACATTTTTGTAATCGTCTACTTGGACGATATCTTGATATTCTCCTCGTCTTTGGAAGCACATCGGGGACATGTTAGGAGTGTGCTAGAACGTCTCCGTCAGCATGGACTCTACGCTAAAGCTGAGAAATGCTGTTTTGAGCAGAAAAGCATCTCATTTCTTGGTCTAATTATCTCCACCACGGGGATCGCTTTGGACCCTCAAAAGATCTCGGCCATCCTGGAATGGCCGGCCCCCACAGATAAGAAGGGAGTCCAGAGGTTTATTGGGTTTGCCAATTTTTATAGAAAATTTATAAAGAACTTTTCAGGCCTGGTAGCACCCATTGTCAGGAATGGACTGGCCAGCAATGGTGGGACTCACCTGCCTTTTGATCTGCAGTACCAGGGCTGGCCAGCGGGTGCTCCCAGCAATCAGAGACTCAACCTTTCAGCCAGCTAACACCTGGAACTGATGATACTGGTGTATTTAAGGGATGGCCAGACTTGCAGACTCTGCCTTGGTGTTGCGTTTGTCCTGGGCCCTGTATCTGTCCTGCATCCTGTTTCTGTTCCTTTGCTGACCCTGCCTGATCTGAACCGCTGCTGACTTCTCCTGCTCTGATCCCGACTCGCTCCTGACCATCCCTCTGCCTGACCCTCTGTACCACGCTGCTTGCTACCTGTTCTGATCCCTGGCTTGTGACCCTGACCATCCCTCTGCCTGACCCTCTGTACTACGCTGCTAGCTACCTGCTGAACCTGGCCTGTGACCCCGACCCATCTCCGCTTGCTCCCCCTGTACCTACCTGCCCTATTGATATTGACCCGGCCTGCCTGACGACGCTTGCTTGTATGTACTGTTATCTGTGGGTGGTTGGTTTGGTTTGTTTGCACTGTATTATGTTTTAGTATTGCACTGCGTTTATGTTTGTATGGTTAGTGTTAATAAATTATATTGTTTATCACATATCTGAAGTCTGCGTTTCCCTGCGTCAGTCACACACCTCTGGTCACACCTGGGAGCCCTGACATTACACCAAGGCCAAACCTGACCAGAAGTGGCTGCACAGGGAAGCCATCTTGGCTTGTTGCTGGGAAGGATGGATCTGGATGAGGTTGAGTATTTATCTCTGCTAGTGCTTGATGACAGAAAATATGCTTATCAGACTCTGAAGGAGTATCCCCGGGATGAACTGCTAGAATGTATACGGCTCGCTCATGTTCTAGTAGATCAGGGCACAGAGTTCTCTATGGTGCAGCCATTGATTAAGGTTTGTGCTGAGTTGGTTTCATCTGGTTCCCCCGAATGCAGGGATGAATTTTTTGCCACCATTTAGTGCAGACCAGGTAGAGTCCCTGGTGTGGTTATTAGAGGATGATGTGGGTTACTTTCTGGAGCGTTATTCCACATGTTCACCACAGGTACTAAGAGATTGTATAAAAACGCAGTGCAGTCTTTGGTCAGACAGGCTTTGTGTAAGCTCAGCTTTGTTCAACCCCTACTGCAGACATGGACAGATTTGTTGCACCCAGCCTCAGTCAGCTTACAAAGACCCAGTCTGCTTCTAATCTATTTCCTCAAAGCTCTACTCCTGTATACCCAACAGCTCCTCCAGTTACAGCCCAGTATACTTGGCTATCTACCGCATGTCAGTACCCTGTTCCCACTCGCTGCACCTATCCTGCCTTTAACCCTGTAAAAAAGCCCTCTGTAGCAACTGCTCCCTCTCCTGTTCCATCCTCCAGTTCTTCTCTGTCTCCAGCTGCTCCATTCGTTTGCAGACCTGCGTTTACTTGCAGTGCTCCAGTTGTTAAAACCAGAAAAAAGCGAAAATTCTTTCCAACCAATACCATCCTGCCAGTATCCAAACCGGTGAACCTGCCTTCCGTGGCTCGGCCTGAAGCCTCTACTCGGCCTGAAGCCTCTACTCGGCCTGATGCCTCTACTCGGCCTGAAGCCTCTACTCGGCCTGAAGCCTCTACTCGGCCCGATGCCTCTACTCGGCCTGATGCCTCTACTCGGCCTGGAGCCTCTACTCGGCCTAAAGCCTCTACTCAGCCTGAAGCCTCTACTCAGCCGGACGCGGCATTCAGCCTGATGCCTCTACCCAGCATGATGAACTGATCCAGCCTGACGATCCTATTAGGCCAGTTTGACTCAATGCCCGCTGTTGATCCAGATGATCCGGTACCTGATCCGGTGCCAATTGACTCAGAGCCCGCTGTCGTACCTGGTGACTCGGTGCCCACTGCCTTGCCAGATGACGCAGTGCCCGCTGGCGAGCCAAATGACCTGATGCCTGGTGACCCAGGGCCCGCTGTCATACCTGGTGACCCGATGCCCGCTGTCGAGCCAGACGATCCAATGCCTGGTGACCCGGTGCCCACTGTCGTGCCTGTTGACTTGGAGCCCACTGCCTTGATAGATGACACGGTGCCCGCTGTCGAGCCAAATGACCTGATGCCTGGTGACCCGATGCCCGCTGTCCAGTCAGACGATCCAATGTCTGACCCAGTGCCCGCGGTCATACCAGTTGACTCGGAGCCCACTGCCTTGCCAGATGACGCGGTGCCCGCTGTCGAGCCAAATGACCTGATGCCTGGTGACCCAGTGCCCGCTGTCATACCTGGTGACCCGATGCCCGCTGTCGAGCCAGACAATCCGGTACCTGATGACCCGGTGCCCACTGTCGTGCCTGTTGACTCGGAGCCCACTGCCTTGCCAGATGACGCGGTGCTCGCTGTCGAGCCAAATGACTTGATGCCTGGTGACCCGATGCCCGCTGTCCAGTCAGACGATCCAATGTCTGACCCAGTGCCCGCGCGGTCATACCAGTTGACTCGGAGAGCCACTGCCTTGCCAGATGACGCGGTGCCCGCTGTCGAGCCAAATGACCTGATGCCTGGTGACCCGATGCCCGCTGTCCAGCCAGACGATCCAATGTCTGACCCAGTGCCAGCGGTCATGCCAGTTGACTCGGAGCCCACTGTCCGTGCCTGGTGACTCGGTGCCCGCCGCTTCGCCTGGGGGCCCGAGATCTGTCGCTCCGCCTGCCTGGGGGTCCGGCGCCCGCCGCTCCGCCTGGGGGTCCGGCGCCCGCCGCCCCGCCTGGGGGTCCGGCGCCCGCCGCCCCCGCCTGGGGGCCTGAGACCTGTCGCTCCCGCCTGAGGGCCCGAGACCTGTCGCTCTGCCTGGGGGTCCGGCGCCCGCCGCTCCGCCTGAGGGCCCGAGACCTGTTGCTCCGCCTGGGGGTCCGGCGCCCGCCGCTCCGCCTGGGGGTCCGGCGCCCGCCCGCCGCCCCGCCTGGGGGCCTGAGACCTGTCGCTCCGCCTGAGGGCCCGAGACCTGTTGCTCCGCCTGGGGGTCCGGCGCCCGCCGCTCCGCCTGAGGGCCCGAGACCTGTCTGTTGCTCCGCCTGGGGGGTCCGGCGCCCGCCGCTCCGCCTGGGGGTCCGGCGCCCGCCGCCCCGCCTGGGGGCCTGAGACCTGTCGCTCCGCCTGAGGGCCCGAGACCTGTTGCTCCCGCCTGGGGGTCCGGCCGCCCGCCGCTCCGCCTGAGGGCCCGAGACCTGTCGCTCCGCCTGGGGGTCCGGCGCCCGCCGCTCCGCCTGAGGGCCCGAGACATGTCGCTCCGCCTGGGGGTCCGGCGCCCGCCGCTCCGCCTGAGGGCCCGAGACCTGTCGCTCCGCCTGGGGGTCCGGCGCCCGCCGCTCCGCCTGAGGGCCGAGACCTGTCGCTCCGCCTGGGGGTCCGGCGCCCGCCGCTCCGCCTGAGGGCCCGAGACCTGTCGCTCCGCCTGGGGGTCCGGCGCCCGCCGCTCCGCCTGAGGGCCCCGAGACCTGTCGCTCCGCCTGGGGGTCCGGCGCCCGACGCTCCGCCTGAGGGCCCGAGACCTGTCGCTCCGCCTGGGGGCCCGATGCCCGCCGCTCCGCCTGGGGGCCCGATGCCCGCCGCTCCGCCTGGGGGCCCGATGCCGGTCGCCCCGCCTGGGGGCCCGATGCCGGTCGCCCCGCCCGGGGACCCGATGCCGGTCGCCCCGCCCGGGGACCCGATGCCGGTCGCCCCGCCCGGGGACCCGATGCCTGTCGCCCCGCCCGGGGGCCCGATGCCTGTCGCCCCGCCCGGGGGCCCGATGCCTGTCGCCCCGCCCGGGGGCCCGATGCCTGTCGCCCCGCCGGGGGCCCGGTGCCTGTCGCCCCGCCCGGGGGCCCGGTGCCTGTCGCCCCGCCCGGGGGGCCCGGTGCCCGCTGCTCCGCCTGGTGGCCCGCTGCCTGCTGCTGCTGCTTCGCCTGGTAATCCAATGTGCCTCTGCCCAGAGTCCTGCCCGATGTGCCTCTGCCCGGAGTCCTGCCCGATGTGCCTCTGCCCGGAGTCCTGCCCGATGTGCCTCTGCCCGGAGTCCTGCCCGATGTGCCTCTGCCCGGTGTGCTTCTGCCCGATGTGCCTCTGCCCGGAGTCCAGCCCGATGTGCCTCTGCCCGGAGTCCAGCCCGGTGTGCCGCTGCCCGGAGTCCTGCCCGGTGTGCCAGTCTTTGATATCCCGCCAGTTACCAGACCCGGGGCGGTGGAACATTTTGCCCAGCTAGGACTGTTTGGAGCGTCCTGAGGCCGCTCCTTGAGGGGGGGGTACTGTCAGGAATGGACTGGCCAGCAATGGTGGGACTCACCTGCCTTTTGATCTGCAGTACCAGGGCTGGCCAGCGGGTGCTCCCAGCAATCAGAGACTCAACCTTTCAGCCAGCTAACACCTGGAACTGATGATACTGGTGTATTTAAGGGATGGCCAGACTTGCAGACTCTGCCTTGGTGTTGTGTTTGTCCTGGGCCCTGTATCTGTCCTGCATCCTGTTTCTGTTCCTTTGCTGACCCTGCCTGATCTGAACCGCTGCTGACTTCTCCTGCTCTGATCCCGGCTCGCTCCTGACCATCCCTCTGCCTGACCCTCTGTACCACGCTGCTTGCTACCTGTTCTGATCCCTGGCTTGTGACCCTGACCATCCCTCTGCCTGACCCTCTGTACTACGCTGCTAGCTACCTGCTGAACCTGGCCTGTGACCCCGACCCATCTCCGCTTGCTCCCCCTGTACCTACCTGCCCTATTGATATTGACCCGGCCTGCCTGACGACGCTTGCTTGTATGTACTGTTATCTGTGGGTGGTTGGTTTGGTTTGTTTGCACTGTATTATGTTTTAGTATTGCACTGCGTTTATGTTTGTATGGTTAGTGTTAATAAAGTATATTGTTTATCACATATCTGAAGTCTGCGTTTCCCTGCGTCAGTCACACACCTCTGGCCACACCTTGGAGCCCTGACACCCATTACTCAGCTCACCAAAGTGGGAGTATGTTTCCAATGGACCCCAGCAGCACAGGCAGCTTTTGAGGCATTGAAAAAGCTATTTACAACGGCTCCCATTCTGAACCATCCTGATGCATCATTGCCCTACATACTAGAGGTAGATGCATCGGAAGTGGCTGTAGGAGCAGTGTTATCACAGAGGGTAGGGGCAAAGGAGCTGATGCACCCAGTGGCTTTCTTTTCTAGGAAGCTCTCCCCCTCGGAAAGGAATTATGATATTGGGGATCGGGAATTACTGGCCATTAAGACAGCTCTGGAGGAATGGCGATATCTGCTAGAGGGGGCCCCACATCCCATTCTGGTCTATACCGACCACAAAAACCTAGAGTACTTGAAAACCGCTAAACGCCTCCGTCCACGCCAGGCCAGATGGGCATTGTTTTTTGCAAGGTTTAATCTCCACATAACTTATCGTCCTGGGTCAAAAAACACTAAGCCAGATGCTCTTTCCCAGATGTTTGAGGACCCTGGAGAGACCCCCCAGCCAGACACCATCCTGCCAGCAGGTAGCTTTCTACTGCTTCAATCTGAGCTGTTGTCTAAATTGCAGGCTGCTTCCACCCGGGTCTCTGACCTGCCTGGAGTCTCCCTACTGAATAAGGAGGGGCTCTTTTGGAAGGGGGAACAGATCATGGTACCCAAGGAGGTCAAGTCCCTGGTGTTAGGTTACTGCCATGACCATCCCCTAGCGGGGCACTTTGGGATACATAAGACTATAGATCTGGCACGACGCACATTTTGGTGGCCAAACATGGCCAAGGATTGTGAAGCGTACGTGAGATCTTGCCCCATCTGCAACCGGAATAAACCTACCAGAGACAAGGCCTGGGGCCTATTGAGACCTTTACCAATACCTGACCATCCCTGGAGTATGATCTCCTTAGATTTTATTGTAGAATTGCCACCCTTGCAAGATCACAGCGTGATCTTTGTGGTAGTGGATCGCCTTTCTAAAATGGCCCATTTCCTTTCACTAGCCAAGACACCATCTGCCTCCGAAACAGCCCAAGTGTTCATTAGAGAGATTGTGAGGCTTCACGGAGTGCCAAGAGAGATTATCTCAGACCGGGGAGTGCAATTTACATCCAAATTCTGGAAAGCGCTATGTGAGGGGCTGGAGATTAAGTTATCTTTCTCGTCAGCATATCACCCCCAGAAAAACGGGCAGACAGAATGAACCAATCAGACGCTCGAGCAATATCTGAGATGCTACACATCATTCCAGCAGGATGAACTCCATAAATAAATAGTGTGGCGCTCAAAATAAATAGATAGATAAATAAATAAATATGAAAATAAATATGTGACCAAATAAATATACCCCGAGGAAGTCACGAGCAGACAGTGACGTAACGCGTAGGTTCGCGAGTCCGCAGTTTCCTGTGCGTGGTGACACACTTCCGGCGTGCGACGCCATCTTGCTGCACCTAGGAAGTCCCATTCACATGCAGTGCACCCACACATCGGTGAGGAGGGTGGACTGCCAGGAAATGTGAGTGTTGTTACTCTATACTTTCAAATAAAGGAGTCATTAATACTGCACTTAGAGGGCATTCTCTTTCTTGGCTCACTGGACTGGTGAGCATTGTTCTTCAGAGACATCTTGGCTGAGTAAGAGAAACAGGAGTCTCGCAAAGGGATCTAATGAAGGAGAAAAGCTGCTGGCCTATTTTGGATTAAGGATCCAGGGTGATCCTGCAAGCCTGCTGGCCCCTAGGGGTCACCGGGAGGAGGTGAGGAGGCAATCTAGCCACCTGTAGGAGAGGAGTTTGGCACAAATCACCTAATTTTTTATCACCACACATCGCATGGTTATACCTATCACTTGATGGACTGTGTTTTCCATTGATTATCTAAAAATTTGAATATATGTTTTTTGCACCTGTTTTGGCACTTTAGCACTTTGTTCACTTTGTATAGGGTACAATAATACATGGTCACTTAATGTAATGTCTGTGGGTCCGTGGAGTGCTAGAGGCTACCGCTGTAGGATCCCTGACACCTTCATTGATGCCTCGACAGGACTCAGCCTCCCATGTCTCCAGCCCACAGTCAGGACCAGCAACAAATGAATGGGGTTCAAACTCAAAATCATTATCCGCTTCAGCCCTTGCCACCAAGCCTTCATCACTAGGGTCAGCCTGAATCTCGACTCTCCTTCTGATAGGTGGACTAGCTTTTTCGGTTTTAAACTTTGGTGGTCTCCACTGTGTGAGGCTCTGAAGCTTCTCCTCTTGTTTCCCCAACTGAAGGAGAAGTGTCATTATCCTCCTGAAGCTGTGGCCACAACCAATAAGGCACCCATCTCTTCTCCATCACTTTCAACCTCTTCCTCTGAATGTCATTTTGACCATGCTGGCACGATCTAGGCCTAAGGTTGTGTGGTTCAATCGGTTAGGAGTCAGGAGGCTGAGGTATTCAGAGGGCATCTGAAATGGGTAGCATGTGATTTTGGTGCTACATTTACAGT